GGGCATGGAGAGGAACAGCAGAGTCTGGCCATTTTCACAATTTATCATACTCTGAAGTATCATACTGTGTACTGTGACAAACAAGTCTGTACTGGTCATTTCTGCACACACTCCCTTCTGCATATGTGATTCTTGGTCAAGCAGCCAAGAAGAAGTGTTGGGGTCAGTGTTGTGGTGCTGCCAGTGAAACCATCACTACAATGCCAAGATCCTATTGGATGCCAATTCGTGTCCAGCCTGCTCCACTTCTAATCCAGCCCCTGCAATGGGCTGGAGATGACGCCATGTATGAATCCCCGCTTCCCACGTGGGAGACCTGAAAGAAGCTCCTGGATTCAGCCAGGACCAGTCCCAGCCATTTGTAGCCATCTGGGAAATGAAGCTAGCTCTCTCTGTTTCTTCCTCTCTCTCTGTAACTCTGAACTTCCGATAAATAAATAAATAGTTTTTTAAAAAGGGAGAAATGTTGGCTAGGTATGTTTTAGATGTGGATGAGACATGAAGAATGGCTATCATATTCTCTTTCTACAGCATCCATTGGGAAGGAGGACAGGTGGCGACCACCAACTTCCAAGTCAGAAAAAACATGGATGACTTTGACAGGCTTAGCCTGGCACATTTGTATTTTCAGAGAGAGGCTTCACCTCCAATGACACATAATGGCGTGTTGGTCTTTCACAGCCTTGCCTCTAACAAAGCAGAGGATGCTGGCTCCAGGGAGTCAATTCTTGGCCCACAGGTTACTAAGGCTGGCCCTGTTCTCCCACCAGCCAGAACACTCCTGCTGCGGCACAGCTGCTTGCAAGGTCTTGCAAATGGATGTACAAGGTCAGATCAGATAAAGCTGTGCCTGGGGCTGTCTTTCACAGTATTTTGATTTGGAGAGAAAGTTCTCCAGGGTCAGTTCCATCATCATGAGACATTCCCATGCCTGAGTCATCACGGAGATGTGCTGGTTTCTCGTTTGAACTTGCAGACTTGGCAGGCCACTTTGGGATGCAGGAACCCTCTAATCAAACAGAACCCACCATGATTTTCTTGGGTTTTTCGACTCCACATTTTCACATACTCTTCCCAGCATTGGACACAAAGAGACAAAAGATGAGATCTTTATTGACTTTTCATAGGTAACATTGACCTAGGTGCTTTAAGGGGGTGTCTCTGAATTCTCACCTTGGTTGCCGAAAGCTCAGTCCCTGTGTCCAGTGGAGGATAAGATTTGGGGCGGGAGTGGTGGTGGAGAAAACATTCAACCTGAGCGCAGATGAGAGGGTAGGAAGCCTCGTTGTCTCAAGGACTCTCGCTCTGGGGGTGTTGGGGGGCTGTAAGGGACGGGGTGCTGATACAGCTTCTGGTCTCTCTGTTGGGTGCCCAGACCTATCACTAGGCTCATGACAATATATTCCGTCTCTGTTGCGTCATACGGGCCCTTGAGGCACACAGGTGGAGAGGTGAGACCCAGCCCGACCAGATAAGGAACCAGCCCACGTGCACCTTAGGGAGCGGGTGTGTGCAAGTCAGCAGGCCAACTGTGCAGCATCAACTTCCCAGCTTTACAGTTAAGCAGACAAAATTGTTGGTTGAAGGTAGTTTCTGTTTGGTTACATCATCCTATAAAGCCCATCATATTTACTCCCAACATACAAGTTAGCAAGACTCATCTTGGCCTGAGAACTTGGTTAAAGTGAAGTGGCCGGTAAGTGGTAGGACTGGAATGGGAAGCTAAGTTAGTCCTTGTTCCAAATTCAACATTCTACAAACACTTGATTCTCTCTGCAAGAACCTGAAGCTGATTTGCAAGCTCCAAAGAAGTGTTTCCAGGTCATATCAAATCAAGAGGGGGAACGCAGTCATTCTGAGAGCTTACTTTCTCTGGGATGAGCAGGGACCTCAGGTGAGCAATGACTTCTCTGGGACGTCTATGGACAAGGCCACTCTACTTGAAGGCTACAACATGTAACCCACCAGCAAGTGTCAGAAAAGGGAGTGGGTACTGTGAGCGTAAGCCATGAAGTCGGCAAATACGTGAGTGAATCAGTTCTGGAGGTAGAATCTGCAGGGGAGTGTGTGGAACAGCAATCTCCACTGGCACGTGCAAGAACTAAGGCTGGGAATAGACCTGGTTGGGGAGCTAAAGGGATACTCTGGCTGGACTGGAATTCTTACACTTGAATGCGAAAGCCAGAATTGGTGCATTGTGCTGGGCTGAACGTGGCTGCAATCACGCTTGGCACAGGTGTGGACTGGGTCTGGGGAGGGTCAGACTGGGCTAGACTCCAATACCCACTGGTACTTGTGAGAGTCAGAGTGGGTGTAGAACAGGCCGGGCTAGGCCTCAGCTCCTGATGAACTGTGTGAGAGCGGTCTGGGTATGAACCAGGTGTGGCTGGGCTGCAATACCCAACAGTAAGAACCAAAAAGGGTATGGGCTGATTGGGCAAGGACATTGTTTCTTCCAGAACAAGATGTGGACAAAGTCTACCTGGGCCAAGGACTCAACAGTATGCACAAGATCCCAGAGAGAGCTTAGTGAAGTCCTTTGTCAGGTTGTAGTCCCTGCGGGTGAGTGCAAGAACCAAGGCAAGGAGCACCTCAAAGCAGACCAGGTTACAGTACCCGCCAGCATACATATGGATCAGGTCAGATGGTGGACAGGCTAGGCCAGTTCATAACATCCACTGGCTGATCTGAGAACCAGGATGGGATGCAGGAGGAGCTGAGTGGGGCTGCAACACCAGCCAGTTCATACTGGAGCGGGACTGAGGGCTGACTGGGCAAGGATAGGCTGCAGTACCAAGCAGCACAAACTGGAACTGGGGGCAGGCTGGCTCGAATTAGGCTGAAGCACCAAGGAGGGATGAGCCACACCAGACTGGGAGTGATGGGTGTCAGGTCTGTGAACCCCAGGGACAGAGGGGCCCTTCACCTGTGAAGTGAGTGTTGGATCCATAAGCCCATATGGGGCCTGCAGAGGACATCTGGAACCAAAGCAGAGAATGGAGAACAGAACATATGGACAATTACCCCCAGCCAAATGATGACAGCAAATATCTGGGTGAATGGAGACTCTTAAGGTCAACTAAGTCAGCCAATAGACATTGGAAGGGATTCCTCATCTATTGATCAGTGAGATTGACAACATTTTGGAACTATCGCATCTGCCTGGGTAGAACCTTTGCAGCATGTGCCACATTGTGACCCTGGGTTGATGCTGGGTGGCCTTTCCCCATCCTCGGGTACTGGGATGGTGCAAGGCTCAGGATAGACTATCCCCTTATCTCCCCTCTCCCCTCAGAAATGGGAAAAAGAAATAGACAGTTTGGAAACAGTGATCACACCCACTACTCCCTAACCCTAGATCCTTCCCACCCTGATCGACTATGTAAATATCATCTACAATAATAATAATAATAATAATAATAATAATAATAATAATAATGAAGTAGACTGACACAGGACAGAGTCCCTGCACTTTGCCTGGAGCCTGTCCCATCTTCTTGGTCCCTGTCATGCGCAGACCATAGTCACGCCCAGCAAAGATTTACTCTATGGCACAGCTGCCTGGTCTTTTCCTGCCCCAAGTTGGTTTTAAGCTAACATGAAAAGGTTCCTGTTTTTTAAATTTTTTTATTTGTATGTTCTCTGAGCTGCCCACAAACACCAGCTCTTGTCTGCCCCAGCAGAGACAGTGAATGCACAGGGTTCTGCTTCTGTCATGTGGTCACGTGCTGGCGGAGGTGGCATGGCAGCCATGTTTAACAGTGGCAGAGTATTTATTTATATGGCTGCACCAGGGCCCTCTGATAATGGATATCTAGATGGTTCTTGGTTTTGTTTTGCTTTTTAATCTAACAGACAAGCAAACTAATGAACTGGTTCCAGTAAACTGAGCCCTGTGTGGATGGGTCCCCGCTGTGGTCACTAATGCATGGCAACCCCAGCTCAGCACGCAAAACACAGGGCGTGAAATGGTTGTGCTGGAGATAAAAACTGACTGAGCTAAATTACATTGGTACAAACAGAAAACAACCTGGGTCAGCATGGTGGTTTAGCTGATTAAGCTGCTGCCTGCAACACTGGCAGCCCATGTGAGTGCTGGTCAGATACAGCCCTCTGCTGAAGCACTGGGAAGGCAGCAGAAGGTGGCCCGAGTGCCTGGGCCCCTGCCACCCATGTAGGAGACTTGTCCGGAGTTCTAGGCTCCTGACTTTGGCCTCACCCCACCCTGGGCCTTTGTAGTACATCTGTGGAGTGAACCAGCAGATCTTTCTCTATAACTCTGCCCTTCAAGCAAACAAGTAAGTCCTCGTTTGCTTTATTAAGTCACAATTCTTCTGACAGTCCCTTAGGCCAAGTGGCAGAGTGGCAGTATTGGGAGCCCATGGTTTAGGGCTGAATCAGAGTGGGCTTAAATTCCAGTTCTCTTAGCTGGTAACCGTGTTATTTTGGCACCTATTTAATCTCTACTGCAGTATCTTCCTCTGTAAGACGGGTACAGTAATGGTACCTGCTCCAGTGCTGTGATGACTGAGAGAGATTGCAAATGTATGTCTTAGCCTGGGCCTGGCACATCTGATCAGAGCTTGCTACACAGTAATGCTGAACTCACTTCACTGTGAAACGTCAGCAGGGACAGCATCCTTCCTGGGCGACAGCGCAGAACTCAAGTCCTTCTGTGACCACTCCTGTGGTGGTGGCTTTGACTTTACTCCTGCAGAATCCACCACGCTGCCACCTAGAGTGTTTATTCCCAGAGTCTGTCACCATGGAGACAGTCAACAGTAGAGAATCCAAGATCCTGGCTCCGCTGTCTCGGGCTGAAAGTGGACTCTCAGGGCCTGTGGATCCCCTGAAGCCAGCAGGTGTCATCCACTGCTCACGCGGGAAAGCAGCTGAGCAGCAAGACAAGGCATCTGTGACTCAGCTACTCCTAACGTCTGCCGTTCCCGGAAACTGCACGCTGGGTCAATAGTCAATGACACCTGGGACAGAGCCTCAGCATGTTCTGGATGGCAGTAAGTCCACAGTCATTCTCTACTCCAAGCTGGCAGATTGAAGCCAAGTATTCAACCAGAGTGCTCACCGGAAACTGGGTGGAAGAGAGGAAGAAGGTAAGGAGGCAGAGGGGCTGGGCAGAGGACTCAGAGGAGGCCGACAGGCAGAGGCAGAGTCAAGTCCATTATTGCTTTTAAGTCAAGGGCAACAGATGGCTGCTTCCCGAGAACAGGGCACTGAGGTCCTTGTGCTTTGCATTAGGGGGTCGGAGGCGGCTACATAAAAGCAATCATCAAGATCCCTGTTACATGGGGAGGGGTTGGGGGACTCCCAGAGCCTATGAGACAGTGTCACATAATGCAATGTAATCAATAAAAAATAATTAAAAAAAAAAAAAAGATCCCTGTTAAGGAATGTTAAGTCAGACTGGCTTTCAGGAAAGTGTGCCTTGGCAGTTGGATCTTCTTAGTCCCCCATTCCTTTGCAACTTGAGTTGATTGATGCACACCTACTCTCCCTGGTTTAATCCTTCCCAGAGTGTGGTACCCACTGAGCCAGGTTCGACACTGTTTTCATTGATGTCTGAGGATGCTCTTTGGCACCTGTTAGGCAATCTTGCCTGCTTGTGTATTTTGATGCTTACTTGCTTTTTTTTTTTTTAAAGATTTATTTATTTTTATTGGAAAGGCAGATATACAGAAAGGAGGAGAGACAGAGAGGAAGATCTTCCATCCAATGGTTAACTCCCCAAGTGGCTGCAATGGCTGGAGCTAAGCCAATCTGAAGCCAGAAGCCAGGAGCTTCCTCTGGGTCTGCCACATGTGTGCAGGGTCCCAAAGCTTTGGGCTGTCCTCGATTGCTTTCCCAGGCCACAGGCAGGGAAGCAGGGCTGCCGGGATTAGAACCTGTGCCCATATGAGATCCCGGTGTGTTCATGGTGAAGACTTTAGCCGCTACTCTATTGCGCTGGTCCCTGATGCTTACTTTCAAAATGAAGCAAATTGTCTGCCGATGTGCCTTTATGTTTCCTTCCCCTGCCCTGGCACAAGCAAGAGTTGTGCAATTCAAATTACATTTCCTTACTCAATCGATCAATTTTGCTCCTTAGAACAGAGCTGGCATTCTGAGTTATTCCAAAATGAAAGAACGGCAAATGTATCCTTTGTGCTTGAAACTGGGCCAGCAAAACTGAGCCACTTCAAATCTTTCAGAGACATCCAGACATCTTCATGTCTTCTTGGGGGATGAACAAAGAGGGTGAGGCTCTAAAAAAATTAAAGAGTCATGTTTATGGGGGAATCAGAAAAGGCACACGTAGGCCAGGCAGGATATATGCCCAGAAAAGGCTGTGAGTGCCTTAAACCTTCAAAAACCAGGAAAGCTGCTGTTTTCTCAAATGCTCATTTTTCTACAAAAATTTGTAAAGCTTACAAAGATGTAGGAAAGCATAGCCCATTCAAAGGAAGGAAACAGAGTATCAGAAACTTTCCATGAAGAAAAAAAAATAATAAAGTACTTAAATATACACAGAGTGCCTCGAGAAAATTCCAAGCAAAGAACTGCAACAAATCAAAAAGACAATGAAAATATGAAAAAAGATTGAAATTTTGAAAAGGGCCCAGCATGATGGCTCAGTGGTTAAATACTTGCCTTGCTTGTGTCGGGATCCCATATGGATGCCGGTTGGTGTCCTGGCTGCTCCACTTCCCATCCAACTCCCTGCTTGTGGCCTGAGAAAGCAGTGGAGGATGGCCCAAAGCCTTGGGACCCTGCACCCAAGTGGAAGACCTGAAAGATGCTCCTGGCTCTTGGCTTCGATTTGGCTCAGCCCCAGCCTTTGCAGCCAATTGTGGAGTGAACCAGTGGATGGAAGCTCTTTCTGTCTCTCTTTCTCTCTGTAAATCTGACTTTCCCATTAAAAACAACTAAATTGAAAAAAAAACATTAAAAAAATAATAGTATAATATGCCATGTGGGAATATTAAAGGTAAAATTATATTAACTTAATTGAAAGTTTCAATAGTGGGGTTCAATTGCAGAATGAGGCAGAATGAAAACCTAGGCAGGATGAAGAGAGTGAGCAAAGCCCTAATGACTTCCAGGGCATTATTGGGAAGATTAATATATGCATTCATGAAATTACAGAAGAAGAAAAACAGAGAAAATTCAAGCAGATAATCTGAAAAATAATGGTCCAAAATTCCCCAAACTTGAGCAGATACAATGATGTGCAAATCCAAGAAGTTCAATGATCTCCAAGCAGGGTAACGCCAGAGACCCACTTTGACATATATTATAATCAAATAAAAAAATAAACACAACAGAATATTTTTTATTGGAAAGTCAGATATACAGAGAGGAGGAGAGACAAAGATCTTTCATCCGATGATTCACTCCCCAAGTGAGCGCAACGGCCGGTGCTATGCCGATCCTAAGCCAGGATCCAGGAGCTTCTTCCGGGTCTCCCATGCGGGTGCAGGGTCCCAAGGCTTTGGGCCATCCTTGACTGCTTTCCCAGGCCACAAGCAGGGAGCTGGATGGGAAGTGGAGCTGCTGGGATTAGAACCGACGCTCATGTGGGATCCCGGTGCGTTCAAGGTGAAGACTTTAGCTGCTAGGCCACGCCGCTGGGCCCAAAAGAATATTTAAAAAAATAATAGTTACTTTACTTGTTCACACACACATATATAGAGACAAAGAAAGAGATTTTTCATCTTCTGCTTTGCTCCCCAAATGGCTACAATGGCCTGGGGCTGGGCCAGACCAGGGATTCCATCTGGGCCCTCTTGTGCCTTCTTCTGCTACCCTCCCAGGGGCATAGCAGGGAACTGGACCGGAAGTGGAGCCACCGGGACTCAAACCTGCATTCCTAATGGAATGCCAGTGATGTAGGGTGGTGGCTTAATGTGCTTGTACCACAGCACAGGCCTGCCCCCAGGAAAGAATCTTGGAGCAGCTTGTCAGGTTTGGGGTGTCCTCAGTAGGATTATCAATGGACCCAGAAGGCAGTGGGATGATATATTTAAAGCGCTCAGTGAAGAAAAATAGCCAACTGAGGATTCTACATGCTACTGTTCTTTAAAAGTGGGGGGGAGAAAACATCTTTGCAGGTAAACAGAAGCTGGCAGGGCTCATTACCGGTGCAACTGCCCACAAGGAAGGTTACACTTGTTCAAGCGGAAATGAAATGATGTTAATTATTAAAGCCACGTGAAATAGATCACGTTCCTTGACAGAGATAAGCACACTGACAGCTGTAAGATCTGCTGTTACGACAGTTTTGGTTTGTGATTTTATTCTTCATTTTCCACATATTTTTAAAAAAAACGCACATACAAATCTCGAAATCTGTGTCAATGTACCCTATATGTAAACATGTAATTTTTCATATTAAGAACATAAAGTTGGGGAGGCAGATTTATGAAGGCATAGAATTTTGTATGTGATTTGTTGGTATCCATTGACAGATTGCTGTAACTCAAGGCTTTCTTGTAATCCTCATAGTAACCACAAAGAGATGTCCATAGACTACGCAGAAAATGGAATCAAAATGTTTGTCTACACAAAACATTAACTTAGCATCAAGGCAGACAGGAAGAGAGGGAATAACGGACAAAAAGCTGCAAGACATGTACAAAGCAGATAATAAGATGGCGCAATAAGCTCATCTCTATTCATAATTACTTTAAATGTAAAATGATTAAATGTCCCAGCGGAAGACATAGCTTACCAGAAACCTTAAGAAATAGGATCAGGCTGGGCCCAGCACAGTAGACTAGTAGTTAAAGTCCTCACCTTGCATGCTCCAGGATCCCATTTGGGCTTTGGTTCTAATCCCGGCAGCTCCATTTCCCATCCAGCTCCCTGTTTGTGACCTGGGAAAGCAGTCGAGGACGGCCCAAAGCCCTGAGACCCTGCACCCATGTGGGAGACTCGGAAGAGGCTCCTGGCTTTGGATCAGCTCAGCTCTGGCCGTTGTGGCTGCTTGGGGAGTGAATCAATAGGTGGGAGATCTTCCTCTCTCTTTCCTCCTCTCTGTATATCTGACTCTCTAATAAATGGGATTCACGAAGGTGGAAACGATGGGCTGGTGTTGTGGTGCAGTTGCTTAAGACAGCACCTGTGCTGCCGGCATCCCACGTCACATACAGCACGGGTCTGAGTCCCCGGCTCTCTTGCATCGGATCCAGCTCCCCGCTAGTGCACGTAGAAAGGCGTCGGAAGATGGCTCAGGGAACCCACATGGGAGACTCAGATAGGGTTCCTGGCTCGTCTTCAGCCTGGCCCAGACCCAGCTGCTGTGGCCACTTGGAGAGTGAAACAGTGAATGGAAGACTTTTTAAAGTAAGTATATAGGTAAGTAAGTAAATAGAAATATGAGCCTGGCATAATGGCTCAGGGCTAAATGCTCACCTTGCAAGCACTGGGATCTCATAGGTGCACTCCCTGCTGCTCCGCTTCCCATTCTGCTCCCTGCTTGTGGCCTGGGAAAGCCTTGGGGTCATCCTCTCATGTGTGAGATCCAGAGGAAGCTCCTGGCTCCTGGCTTCAGAACGGCACAGCTCTGGCCGTTGTAGCTATGTGGGGAGTGAACCAGTCAAGGGAGGATCTTTCTCTCTGTCTCTCCTTCTCTGTAAATTTGACTTTCCAAGTGTGACAATGTGGATGGATCTCTGAGACATTACGCTGAGCAAAATCAGTCAGGCAGATACCGTGTGCTCCCATTTATGAGGCAGCTGTAACAGGCCAAGCCATAGGTAGTGGGAGCAAGCAGAATGGCCAAAGTGTTTGCTATCCTGCGAAGGTTAGGAAAGCCATTGACGTGTACGCCGGCAGTGGCTAGAATGGCAAGCTGTAGGTTGTGCTCATTCTGCTGTATTACCTTTTAAGAGAATCAAATGAGGAACATAATTTAATGTGAAAGAGAGAGCGTGAGCAATAGAGGCAAGACCTAGGGAGGAAGGGAATGGGGAAGGGGCGCAGGTGAGGGGGGTGAGGAGGGAGGCAGGTGGGGGGCAGAAGCCAGCAGGGGGGCTGGTGGCCTGGGAGGGGCGTGCAGACCAGCTGGGTGCAGGCGGCTTGTTCCACACTTACCCTGATGGTCTGCCAGCGGCCCAGCAAGGGGCGGGGGACCTGAGGGCAGCTCAGGGGTCTTCTCCAGTGTCCAGTCTCCCCAGTTCACCAGGGCCACTGAGACGACGCCTCCGAGCCTCTACAGAAAAGACTACGTCCCCATCCTGGGCCACCAGCCGGACCTGATCTCCAGGTGGTATGGGAAGAGGAGAATTGAGGTGAGAGAGCGAGCGGGGGTCCCCCCTTGGGTCGCGTCTCAATAAGGGGCCCAAAGGGCAAAGCTCAGCAAGTCCAGCTTCAGGTTGCCTTTGCTTGCTGGAGTTGTCCGTTGATCTTCTGCTGTCCGGGACCCACGGCAGTAAGAAACAGCGGTGGATTTTCAGCTCTGTGCTGGCAGCCCTGCACCAGCTGATGTCAGACCAGCAGCCTCAGACAATGTCGAGGTTCAAGAGCAGCTGCCTGTCACCATTAGGACGATGCAGGCAGCCCTGGGCCACACTGGTGTGTGTAGACCATGCTGCATGCTGGCAGCCTTGGGCCAGCTGATGCCCCAGGCCACTCCTGCAGCCTCAGATCATGTGGCAGTTCCGAAGCAGCTGCCCGCCACCATTAGTGCGCACTAACACACAAATCAGTCAGAATCTATACTCTGTGCTCCAACAGGTTGCAGGGTGAGACCCTCGCCAGCTCTCCTGACCTCTGGACCCCTCACGGCTCTGCCTAACGGTTTAACCCACAGCCTGGCGAGTACAAACACACTCACACTCCCAGGCCATTACACAGGCACATTCATTTCTGCCCATCTGTGCGCTGGGGCCCAGGCAGCCTGGGCACCATCGGTGCTCTCGCCTGCTCCCCGTCGCCCTGTATTCCTGGCACAGCCCACCTCTCTCCTCTCCCTTCTTGGGCACCTGCTCTCCACATTAATCAAGGACAACCTCTCTCCATTGTTTCCCTCCTGTGCTGGTCCCCCAGGCAGGGCATGAACCGTTGGCATTGCAGGGTTAGGACACCCATGGACACAGTGAGCAGCTTGCTTGAGTGTCCCTCTTCCACTGACAAACTCCAGAGCCCTCACACATTCTGGCTGCTGCCTTCACCCACCTTGCCCACAACAGGCTTGCGTCTCCCCTGCCCCAGCTCCTCCCAGGGCCAGGCATTGGGCAGCCAGATGCCAGAGCCAGCAGGGATCACAGCGTCCAGGCCTCACCTGCTCCCGCAGGCCACCTTGCCTGTCCCATCCCGTCCCGTGGTGAGCTCAGGAAAGTCCTGGGTCCCCGGCCTCCTGCTGACCTGGTGCTCCCCCGTGTGGTCCTGCCTGGCATGGCTGCCCCTTTCAAGCCCTGGCCTTCACAGGTGTGTCATCAATCAAGACAGAGGCACCGGGGACCCTGAGAGATGTGGTGTCAGCTCTTGCGTAGTAACCAGGCACCAGTGCCAGGCTGGCTACCACCTTCCCACCAGCCTTGCCAAAGGCGGTGGGCTTGAAGCCACTTCTGGGGTGGGATTTCATGAAGGTGCACAGCAGGGCAGCTCAGACTCTCCCCCCATGTAGAGGGGTATCCTGGTGGCCACTGCAGGCTGGCCACGGGGAGGCATGGCCTAGGCTGGGGCCAGGGGCGGCTCTCACAGAGGGCTGCCTGCACTGGCTGGGACACGCCTGGCTTTGCTCAGTAACATGTCTGTCCTTCCAGGGGCTCCCATACAAGCACCTGATCACCCACCACCAGGAGCCCCAGCACCGCTACCTCATCAGCACCTATGACGACCACTACAACCGGCACAACTACAACCCCGGCCTGCCCCCGCTGCGTACCTGGAGCGCCCAGAAGCTACTGTGGCTGCCGGAGAAGGCTGACTTCCCACTTCTCGGTACCTGAACCCCGGGGCTCGGTCAGCCACGGGTGTTGAGGCCCCTGGGGCTGAGCCTCCAAGTCAACTCTGCAGAGGGACCCTCATAGGTCCTCAGGGCGCCTGGTCCCAGCAGAGCACAGCAGCAGGATCAGTTTGTTGGGAACATGAGCCTTGGTCCCACCTCCCCTCCGCTCTGCCTGCCGGTCCCAGGGCTGCCACCTGTCTCCTCCTGTGTAGGGAGGCCCACGCCTGCACACCTTACCCACAGCACGAGTGACAGGGACAATGTCACTGCACCCTCGCTGGGGGAATGGTGACTGGTTATTTCCCAGGCACAGTTCTGGGGCGGAAGCGCCTAGGGACATCTTCCTGGAAGGCTTGCTCCCTGGGGGCTGATGTGGACAATGAGTGGGATGTGTGAGACCCTCCTGCAGCTCACTGGCGCCCCCTTGGGGTGAAGGGGCATGGTCTTTCTGGAGGCTGAAGTTGTGTGAGGCAGCCAGGGGAGAGCATGCCAGGGGAGGGAACGGCAAGGGGTAAGACCAGCATGGAGGGAGACCAAGGAGGGGCCTGTCTTCCTGCTGAGGTGCGCATTGGCAGGAAGCCGAATGGGGGGACGGGGCAGCCAGGAATCAAGACTGGTTCTTTGATATGGGATTCCATGGCATCCCAAGTGGTGACTTCATCATCGTGCCAGACGCTGCCCCTGAGTAGGCGACCTGGGTCACTGACACAGCCCACTCTGCTAGGGTGGGACATTTATCCAGCACCCACACCCACAGACCACCCACCACACCATGGGACTCACCTCACACTCACTGCTGGCCGGCTCAACTCAACACTCATTCCCCTACAAGGCCATCGATTCTCTTTGGTGCCCAGCCCTCCTGAGTCCCTGACAGCGCTGGAAATCCCAGGACGCCCAGCATCCCTGTTTACTCAGGCCCTGCTTTCCTTGCAGCCCCGCCCACCAACTATGGCCTCTTGGAGCGGCTGAAGGGGAGCTGGCTGGCGCCCAAGGCTGGCCCCAGGCAGAGCGTCTACACCTCGTCCTACCCCTGGCCGCCGCCGTGCGCCCTGTCCAGGCGGGAGCATGCCATCCCCGTCCCTCCCCCACGCCTGCACCCCATCCCACAGTTCTGAGAAGTGTGCCCCAGTCTGAGGCACGCAGAGACCCAGGCCGACTCGGGGAACGGGTTCCCCAGCAAGCAGTGTGCTCCTGTCTTGTCCACCCCATTAAAGCTCTTTGATGCGACAGCAGCGCCACCTGGTGGTGCGGAGGACGGACGGGCGCTGCAGGAGGAAGCCAGAGGGGCCCTTAGCTAAGCTCCACCTCGTGGTTTCCTAGGAGGGGAGACTGAGGCACAGGGAGGGGTCACGTGACTCCATTCCTACCTGTGCTCGCCACCCTGCAGGTGCCACCAAGGAGCCCGCTGGCCCAGTGGGAGGCATGGATGTGCTTTTGAGGCCCTTCTTGAAAACTCCCCAGGCTCTAAAACCCTCAGGTGGTTGTGAAGAGAGGTGTCAGGCAGGGAAGACGCCCTTTGACCCCTCCTGGGGAGTGATCCTCTCCACCCCATCTCTGAGCTGTTCCAGTGAGTGGCTGGGGAGTGAGGATGGTCTTCTGCCAGAGGAACTGACCAGTCCTCGTCCCAGGAAGGCATCCCCCAGAACTCCAACTGCTGCTCAGGAGTTAGCGCCCCCAGCGCTGTCTCTCTCTGCCTGGTGAACACTTGGTGCTTAGCTATGATTGACGCAGTGTGGCCTGTGGCCTCTTTGTGCTCCCCTCGGAGCCTCCCTCTACCCCACTCACTGAGTCCCAATCTTTTTTAAAAAATTGCATTTCATGGGGCTGGTACTGCAGTATAGTAAGTCTCTTCCTGCTGTGCCAGCATCCCGTATGGTCTCTGTTCCATTTCCACTCCAGCTCCCTGCTTTTAGCCTGGGAAAGAAGCAAAAACATGGCCCAGGTCCTTGGACTCCTGCACGTGTGGGAGCTGAAAGAGGCTCCAGGGTCCTGGCTCTGGACTAGCTCAGCTCCAGCCACTGTGGCCAGTTGGAACATAAAGCAACAGATGGAAGATCTCTCTCTCTCTCTCTCTCTCTCTCTCTCCTTATCTCTTTGTAACTCTGACTTTCAAGCAGAAAAAAAAATCTCCTTTACAAAGATTCACTGTATTTATTTGAAAGGCAAAATGACAGAGCGAGAGACCGAGATAAGAGAGAGGGTTTCCACCAGCTGCTTCATTCCCTAAAGGGTTGCAACAGCCAAGGCTGAGCCAGGCTGAAAGCAGGGGCCCCAATGCTTGAGCCACCAACACTTGCTGCCTTCCCTGGTTCATTAGCAAGAAGCTGAGTGTGAAACAGAACAGCCAGGACTTGAACGCACACTCCAACATGGGGTGTCAAGGTCACAAGTGGTGGCTTCACGCCACTGTGCCACACACACATTACACTTGAACTCCCGTTTGAATCTGACCATAAACCCCTGCTCTGAGGTGGACCTCTGTGTCTGGGTTCTGGCCCCTTGGCATCCAGGTCCCATGGCAGAACTCTAGTGGTCCCCACTCTGGACTCAGCCCCAAATGACCCGAGTTCTTCTGCTGCCTTCCCAGAGGAAAGCCCCTCCCTGCACCTCCAGCTCTAGGACCTGAGCCCGTTCGGTCAGTGTTGTCCACGTGACTCTATGGTTCTGTCCTCGCATCTGACAAGCTCCACCAACGGATAGACCAGTTCTTTCATAAATCCGTCCTTGGATTGGCATTGTATTGTAGTAGGCTAAGCCAACACCTTTGATGCTGGCATCTCATATGGGCACCTGTTCCAGTCCTGACTGCTCCACTCCCAATCCAGCCCCCTGCTAATGTTCCTGAGGAAGCAGCTGAAAACGACCCAAGTGCTTGAGTACCCACATGAGACAGCCGGAAGAAGCTCCTGGCTCCTGGCTTTAGACTCAGCCCAGCTCCACTGTTGTGGCCATTTGGAAAGTGACCCAGTAGATGGAAAATACTAATTTATTTAATTATATGAAAGGTGGATTTACAGAGAGAGGAGAGAGAAAGAGAGGAGAGATAGAAAAAAACAACGAAGCAAAACTGGTCCCTTTCCTTATAATCTGGGCATCACTTTCACAACTCTAACAAATGATTCCACCTTCAGCAACAAAAAGTTAAGAGAAAGCTTCAAGTTCAGAACTGGCTGCAGGTGGAGTAGTGAGTGTGCTAGGGCCCATGCCGGCAGGGGGGCGGGTGGTGCTGCAGGACACCTGTCACCTCACTAAGTCGGCACCACCATGGCAAAGGTGGGTACCCGCAGGTTAAGGTCGTGAGTGTTCTGTCTGTTTCACAGAACAGGGACTGGCAAGGCAAGACAATGGGTCTGGCCCCACAGCTACAGAGACACAGAGGTGCCATCTGAACCCAGGGAATGTGGCCGCCCGTGTGCATGCTCAGCCCTGTGCAAACCTGCCTCTCCCCCCAACCCACTTAAAAAAATGCTAGCGGGCTCGGCAGCGTGGCCTAGCAGCTAAAGTCCTCACCTTGAACGCGCCAGGATCCCATATGGGCGCCGGTTCTAATCCCGGCAGCTCCACTTCCCATCCAGCTCCTTGCTTGTGGCCTGGGAAAGCAGTTGAGGACGGCCCAAAGCCTTGGGACCCTGCACCCACGTGGAAGACCCAGAAGAGGTTCCTGGCTCCCAGCTTCGGATCGGCGCAGCACCGGCCATTGCGCTCACTTGGGGAGTGAATCATCAGACGGAAGATCTTCCTCTCTGTCTCTCCTCCTCTCTGTATATCTGACTTTGTAATAAAAATAAATAAATCTTTAAAAAAGATGCTAGCACAAAAGCCCCGATTATTGCACAGCACACCTGCTGGCTCCTGGCTCATGCTCCAAGGATCTTCATGCACCAGCTCCAGCCTTCTCCTCTGACTGCCTGATGACAGGTGGGGCCTGGCACACACCAGGGGCTCAATACATGCTTATTGAGTGAGTGAGTGACAAACAGAGGCATCAAGGGACGAAAGGCCATTGTGCCAGAGTGCTCCCGGGGAAAGGGAGACCCGATCTAGCTGAAGCAGAGGGTGGGGAACGTTTAGGCCAAGATGCTCAGCAAGGGAGGGGGATCAGTCAGATGAAAGAACGAGGGGTGGGGAGAGGGTGGCGTGGGTATAGGCTGGGTTGGACAGGTGCTCAGCAGGAGGCTAGCTGCCCAGGAGGCTGGTGTGCTAGTGTCTGGTCAGTGGGGTGACAAATAGCACAAGCCCAGGGCCCTATGATTCCAGAGGGCACAGGCTCACGGTGGGTCGCCAGGGCTGTGCTGTCCCTGCAGGGCCTGGGAAGGCCTTGTGCGCGTCTTTTCCAGCTTCCAGGGACACCTGCAGCTCTCAGCTGACGCCGTCTCTGACGCCGGAGTAGTGGTGTGTCATTCTCTGTTCTCCCAAGGTCCCTCCTGACACGTTGGGTGCCCTGGCTAAGTCTGGATCCCCAGCCCCATCCCATGGTCCTGGAGGTGAGGAGGGGGACAGCTCGGGGGACAGGGCACTCTCTGTATGTGACTCTGCTATTCTCACACCTCTCCAACACACCTTGTCCCTTCCATGCAGCTGGGATGGTCCCAGAGAGGGGCCTTGAGCGAAGCTCAAAACCTGTGGCTGCCCATGCTGGGTCAGCACCTATGGGCCTCACACACACCCACACACAATTTGGAACAGTGACCTTAAGTTCTGGAGCCAGAAAATCAAGTGCCCAGAAGCCCAGCACAGCAACAGACCCACCAAGTGGGGTGCACACCATGGGAGCTGCAGTTGACCAGGACAGATCAGTCCCTCCAGGGCTTTGCTCCTACCCCGGGGCCTTGCTGGACTTCAGGTCTCTGGGCCCCAAACCCCTGACCAACATCTATTGGTCTCCAGCGGGGCAAGCTGCCTTTCTCAATATCCCCACTAGGAGATGCTGTGGTGCCGTTCTGGGGACCACACTTTAGGAACCACTCCACCAGTGGATGGCTGTGTTGGTATTTTATTTGTACCAATTTCTTCAGAACAGCAGAGTCTGCAGGAGTAAACAGGCTCAACAGGGGCTCTGGCTCCAGAATTTTATCACAAGGCCAGGCTGACTGCAGAACCCGGCACTAGACAATTCCTTCCCAGGCAAGTGGGCGGCATTCTGGCACCAGCCTGTCTCCTGGCAACCAATGTGGCCCAAATTCTGGGCATCTCTGTGACAGGCACCTGCTTGAAAGTCGATGTGAAAATAGCTAAAGTTCCATTTCCCTCCGGGAATGTCCTGTTTGCATTCTTGCAGTGTGTGTGGGCTGACGGTAAATCTGGATATGCCATCTTGGGCACGAAGCAACGCGACATGACCTTGTTGGCTGTCTCTTTTTTGGGCCTTCTTTATCTAAGACAAGGGACATCTCTGGGCTCTCGGTTTTCTGTCCAGCCTGGGAACCCAGGTCCCCAAATCCTTACCTCTTCCCAGGGTTTCTGTCTGTAGAAATCGCCAGGGAGCAGAATTTACTTCCTGTCCTGGGACCAAACCTTAAGCTCAGGTCACATTGCCCGGGTCGTCTTCTGGATGTCCCCAAGTTGTTCTCGGCCAGGCCCAGGACCTCCCACCAGGAACAGCACACACTGCTTCTTTGCAAAGTCCCCCAACCCCAGAACTCCCAGCAACCCTGGGGAGCTGGGAAACAGACCTCAGGTCCTGCCTCAGCCTGCCGGCACCTGCCAGCCATCTCTCAGCACGCCCCTGCTGCTCCTCGCCAGCCTCACAGCTCTGCCCACTCACTGCCTGCCTGGAGGAATCCTGCCCAACCATGACCGCTGGGCCCACATTGCCCACTGGTAGTCTGGCACAAGATGGCTCCGAGGAAGTGAACATGGTATGGGGCCAGGAGGACCAGGGCAGAGTGAGAAGACTGGAGGCTTTGCCATGGGCGTGGGGAGGCCTGGCAGGAACCGCAGAGCAGATGGAGCCTTGGGAGTGTGTGCTCAGAAAGAGCGGGCAGCCCAATAGTGGCCATCTGACTGGGCATGCGTCAGCTCCGGCTATGGACACAGAGCTGACCAGAAACCAATCCGGGAGCGGGGGCAGCATTATCGCGTAGCGAGCTAAGTCTCTATCTATGGTGCCAGTATC